AGCCTAGAACCCCAAGTGCCAGCAACTGGCAGCGAGACAGCCGGGAAAGGTACGCGCTCACTAGCGGGAAGCATGACGCGATGGTGTGCCGTCCGGCGGCGCGATCACGCTGCAAGCAACGGGGCACTGTCCATATTGTCGGCGCCGCGACAGATAGGGAGAGGTGACGCGAGTGAGATGATGCCCACGTGAAGAGTGGGCTCGAGCGCTGCGAGCGGTGGAGAGGGTGAAGTGAAAGAGAGGGCTGACACGTGGTGAGCGCGCGACAGGCGAGGGACGTCACGGCGGACTGTTTGGAGGGTGTCAGCTACTTGGCACCGCTCCAAAAACTACGTCGAGGGGAGCCGTTCGGACGGAGGGACGGCGTTACACAGGCTAGTCGAAGAAGTACTTCGCATCTAAAAAAAATCAATACCTGAAAAACACCAAGTACAGCTTCCAAAGTTCATTGCTTAGGCACAAGTTCGTAAACGTGCAACCACAATGGTTTTTTTCGCTTTTACCCATAACAATTTCACAAAAAAATATGGAATGCGATATTTACAACCGTTCAACGATATGTTTAGGGATGTGTAGCCAGGCTAATAATGTATACAGCTGATTTCACTATCACATTTTGGTGCTGCTTCATGCGGATAAGTGTCTTACTGCGGTGGAAGTACATGAGCTTCCGCCTTGGGCAAAAATTAGACTGTTGCAGGCATCTGCTTACCTAGCGCTGTTATAGCGAGTGGATGTACAGTGGACAATTGGTTAACTTTTGTGATAACGAGTTGGTGTTTTGTTGATTGTAAGGCCACAGCAAGTTTGCATAAAGAAGTGAACTACACTTTTTAAGAAACGACTGTCCCTCTGTGGGCGCTGCGATACATAGGTACCATCGTATCCTCGAAAAGCCTTGGCAGTTCAGGACACAAACTTTACACATATGAGGAGAAGCTGATAGAGAGGACAATACCGCCCTCAATAGTTCTCGTGCGCGGCTCATATTGCCACGCCTCATAAAGGGCTAAAAAACGCCAGAGCTGCGTGGAACAAATTACACAATCAGGGCGAAAGCTGGAACCGCAGCCATCGTAGAGCTTTTTTTTAAACACTACTGGGGCAAATATTTCAAGCACATCTTCATGATTCGCACTACGCGAGAAATCATGATAATTTTTTGTAGTAGGAAACTATAAACGATACCATTACTCGTAATTTTTCAAAATTATGGCAATACTTGGTCTCGATTTAGAAAAGGCCTTCGATACAATAACGCACTCGTCAATCTTGAAAGCGATCGCAGCCCTCGGCCTAGGTCATCAATTTTACTACTTTATCCGCTCTTTTCTCACTCGACGCAGAGCCATCCTCCGAGTAGGAGACCTAGTGTCGGAAGAAGTGGAGCTCGAACAGCGGGGCACTCATCAGGTATCCGTCCTCTCACCCACGCTCTTCAACCTCGTGGTGATCGGGCTTTCCGAACGACTTTCAAAAATAGACGGGCTAAATCACACTTTCTATGCGGATGATGTAACCATATGGTGCTCCACAGGGTCGGATGGCTTCATTGAGTCCACCCTGCAAGAGGCTATCGACACCACCGAGTCTTACCTCGACCACACCGGTCTCAGGTGCTCACCTGCGAAGTCGGAGCTGTTGATATATTTGCCCAAACGCCGGTGTGCCAAGCCCAAAGGGTGGAAACATCCGGCGGAACGCAATATCACCCTCCACACCAGAGATGGTCGTACTGTATCCAGGGTAGACACCATCAAGGTCTTCGGCATGACCATCGAGTCCCGCGGAACCAACACCCAAACAGTACACAAGCTCAGGACTAAGACTGGGAATGCCATACGACTCGTACGTAGAGTAGCCAACAGGCACCATGGCCTCAAAGAAGACAACCTGCTGCGTCTCGTACACGCGTTTGTTTTGTGCCATTTTACCTACGTTGCCGCTATACACAAGTGGCTACGTGCTCAGCGCAATCAACTCAATGCGCTTATTCGCAAGGTGGTCAAACGAGCCCTTGGCCTCCCTATCACCTCTCCAACGTACAAACTCCTTGAGCTTGGCGTACATAACACGCTAGAAGAGATCGCCGAAGCTCAAGAACGCGTGCAATTGACCCGACTACCGGCCTATATGTGTGCTCCCGTTCCTCAGCAAAGTAATTGAGAAATTATTTGAAAAGCGCCTAACTAGTTACATTCGAAAGTTTAGCATTCTTACTGATTTTCAGTTTGGTTTTCGAACAGGATATTCTACTGATCTCGCTTTATTATATCTTACTGAATTTCTAAAGCAGGCGATTGACGATGGCAGTTTAGCTGGATCTGTTTTTGTTGACCTAACAAAAGCCTTCGATACTATCAACCATCAGATACTCTTCATAAAACTGGAAGAAATGGGAATATGTGGTCCTGCTCTGTTATTTATTCGCAGTTATTTCCTTAATCGAAACCAAACGGTCAGTATTTCCGGTACCTACTCCAAACAAACAACAACGAACATAGGAGTACCACAAGGGTCCATTCTGGGCCCACTTTTGTTTTTAATCTATATCAATGATCTACCTAATTTTTTCATACACTGTAAATATTTGCTCTACGCTGATGATACGACGATTTTTAGTTCCGATAATAACATAGACTGTTTAATAAATAAGCTGAGCACAGATCTTCGCAATATACTACACTGGTGTAAGCTAAACAAATTACAGTTCAATCCTCAAAAAACCCAATTCATTCTCTTTTCATCACATCAGCGATCGCTAGTAACGGATCCCTCAATTATTATCCCAAATCATTCGATTCACGCTAGTAATGATTGTGTTTACTTGGGCGTCAAACTAGATAGAAACTTAAAATTCCACTCTCATATTTTAGATGTCAAGAAAAAGCTGTCTTATGGTATAGGCACCCTCATTCGGTCTCGCCCTTTTTTTCACGTTCCATTCTCTTGTCACTATACTACGCATTTATTCATTCTCACATCAACTACTGTATAACTACCTGGGGCACTACCTACAAAACTCACCTCGTACCGTTACAGACTGTTCAAAACAAAGCAATTAAAATAGTCACTTCTAGTTCACATTACACCGATTCAAAACAACTATTCTACAGCTACAACATCCTTACAATGCGCGATATGGTTAAGTATAATCTAGTCATATGTTTATCCAAGCATATCAATGAGCTATTTCCCATTTCCATCATCACATCCTCCTCACTTCTCAATACCAACAACACTAGATTTGCTTACCACAAAAACTTCATCTTACTGAAAGCCCGGACTAACTATGGCAAACGAACCGCTCATTTTAGCTCACTTTCCATATGGAATTCACTTCCATCCATCTTAAAAGTAATGAATCCACACTCGTTTGTAAAAGAATTAAAAAAGTTCTTTGTCAACCAATACAACACGTAGCACTTCATTCTCATAGCCCCTAAAGCATGCTCTCACACATGTATGTATGTGTGTGTATATATGTGTATATATATATATATGTATATGTATGTGCGTATATATGTATGTGTGTATATATTTATATTTTTTTCTTTTTTCTCTTTACACCTCGTGTTTACATGGTTTCTTCATATTATGAAATGTGCTTGATCACCCATATCATTATGATTATTGTAATTTTTCCCTTCCTGTCGAAGCTATGTTTTATTTGTTTTTATGTTCATCATGCACAGGAGGTCCCAATTCAGTCTCCGACTACCGGACCTCCTTCTGTATACTGTCTGTAGTGACTTTACTTCATAGTAACAATAAAATTTGATTCTGATTCTGATTCTGATTCTGACTCACCACCACCAATGCGGACCGCCATATTCTGCGCGAGTTCAGCTTCTTCTCCTCGAGGGCCAGGGACACCCCAGAGTTGGCACTAATTCCCCGTGAAATCCGCGACCTTATCACGATCGTTCCCATTCCACGAAATGTACACCCCGAATACAACAGAGGCAGGCGCCTTGCGTGGGCGACCGCCATTCTCAAGCGCATAGACATGGAAGCGGACAACGTCTCGTTCGTGGACGCCGCTGCCTATCGCAACAACCAAGCCTTCGCCGCGGTCGCGGTATCATCCGCGCAGCAGACTCTTAACTCAGCCACAATCCTCACCCGAAACCCCGAAGTAGCGGAGCAAGTAGCTATAGCTATGCTCGACAGCAAACGGAAATACATCTACAGCGACTCCAGGCCGGCCATCAAAGCCTTCGAACGTGGAGTCATCTCCGACCAGGCGTTACGTATCCTGCGTAATGCGGACCCGAGTGCCCTGAAGCACCACACTGTCATATGATTCCCCGCCCATCTCGGCCAGGTGCCGGGTGTCCTATCCAACCTCAACGTGATCGCCCATGATGCAGCGCGCGCACTTACCGACCGCACTGCCACAGGGCAACCTCATCTTGCTGGGTTAGATACCAATCGGGATGCACCAATTACGTACAATGAAATTACAAAGCACTTTTACCTGGAACGCCGAATTTTTCCACCCCCACATCCTAAACTTAACCGACCACAGGCATTAACCCTACGCCTATTACAGACACATACGACCCAAACCTTGCAACGCTTCACGTTTATTATCCCGATCCATACCCCAGTGACACATACCCATCATGTGGACACACAGCGACACTCGCACACATGCTCTGGGAGTGTAAAACAACTCCTCCCGACTCTACCTCAAGCAAGTGGGAGAGGTCCCTCAGGAGCTCACTTCTCGCCGACCAGCATTGGGCCGTCCAGCAGGCCTACGAAGCGGCCGCCAGGTACTCCCTGTCGGTCCCTACGTGGGAGACGCCCGCTATGCGCTAAGCGCGTCCTGCAGGACTGAAATAAAGTTTTTTATTCCATTCATGGTACCCGCTGCACACTTTTAAGGCATATATCTCAAAAAATTTTATTGCGCTATTGAAGACAGAGGAAAACGGGCAAAACCCCCAAATGATACGACGTGATATAGGTGTATCAATATGCAATAAGCTTGATAAATCACATGTTCAGTGTATTTATGTCATTTTCAACCGTTAAACCTTCACTTGCAAGCCTGCTCACGTCCTGTCTAACTTTTCTTCTTCCGTGTACAATAGCATAAGCCTGTAAAATAATAATAAACCAACTATATGAAGTTAGTGTCCCATCTATAACACCCAACGATTGCTTATGTCTCCAGAGGTTCCATAAATATTGAGTTCTAGAAGACTATAGGCATTGGCCTAACTTTTAGTCTGAAATGACGTTTACCTCAGTGCAAGCTATGATAAAATTCACGCTGATAAATCAGTCCGGCTGTGGATTTCACAAGACGAAAGAAATAATTTGGGCAATTCTGATGGCAGCCTTAGCATGTATTAACTCTTTCGTTACCACGCGAAAATGGTTATTTTTCGTATGTCTCGGGAACATGGCTTTCGCCAGTACTGAAGCACGCACTGCGTCATACCGAATTTCACACAATGACACGCTTTTTGCAAAAAAAGTATATGTCGTAGAGCGAAAATGTGTAACGATGAATAAAAACGTGAGAAATGTGTAGTTATTGTTTGCCAGCTGGTAAACACTGCCACAAAAACACTATATATGCAAAAATAGTGAAAACTAAGAAAACTCAGAATATACGTTTTGAACAAAATGACCGAAGAGTAGTATATAAATAATGAATGTTGTACAAAATACTTCTATTCACATAGACAAAAAAAAAGCTCAAACCAAGGTGCTTCGTCGCTTGTGCCATGCGGTGAAGCATTGGTTGGGTTTTTTTGAGACACAAGATTAATTGATAGATATGTGGGGTTCAACGTCCCAAAACCACCTTATGAAAATGAGAGATACCGTAGTAGAGGGCTCCGGAAATTTCGACGTGCACCCAAATCTCAGCACACGGGCCTACAGCTTTTTCACCTCCATCGAAAACACACCCGCCGCAGCCGGGATTCGAACCCGCGCCCTGCGGGTCAGCAGCCGAGTACCTTAGCCACTAGACCACCGCGGCGGGGCAGCGAGACACAAGTGCCCTCGTACAGTTTTCTTGGTAAATTTTAGTTGTTTTTTTTTGTGCGAGAAGAGCCTGCAGCTGTTACAATGCATTGAGCTGCCCGTAATGTGAATAATCTATCTATAAATCAAACGTCCAATGAACTTCGCTCTTCCGTGTAGCATGGCCTCTTTTCATGATCTACCTCACTTGAAATATGTTGGCGTTCCAGTATATGCACTAAAGCATATTTCTTTGCAATTTTGTACATTCTTTTGTATAAAGAAGAGCGATATCGCACGCACTTCTACAACAATTCGCACTGCTCCGTACTCTGGTCCAAGATGTGTTCCAGTGGCATTCTTGTCCTGAGAAGAAGCTCTGCAGCCGACGCCAGCACACTGCACACCGCGTCGTGTGGACCTCGCACATAACCAGGGTAGCTAAAAGATTTTGCTCAAACGTCAGCAGCTATACGCACATGCGGAGGAGGAGACAACTTGATGCCGTAAACAAAACCCCATGAACGGCTGCCAGTGTCTCAGGCTCACGCAAAATGTCATCGACATAAAAGTTGAAGCTGAGATGCTGTCATACGCGAATTCTCAGCTCGTCCTCACTCAATTGAGGTACTATTGAAATATTGGCTCAAGCGGCGCTTCTTTTTTTGCAATGCAGGTGCGTACTCATGTGCGCATGATGCTGCTGCCATAGGAGCGACTAGTGACACTAGTTGCGACCCTGTGGCTCATACAACAATACAAGTCACTCGAAGGTGCTGGAAACTGCCTAAGAAGGCCAACTTCACACTTCACACATGCGGTGGGCATTCGGAACTATTTTTTTGTTGAATAGTTATCTACAACATAGAGCTGACCCCTAGCATCAGTTTAAATAATTTGATATTTGAACCTTAATTTGATAATTTACTTGCAAAGGTTATTTTGATTACAGAACTTTGTTGTTACTGCGGAAGAACAAGGAGGGGCTGGCGAACGATTGATCCTAGCTCGTTTTACTTATGCTGCTCCCAGTTCCAATGAAAGCGCGTTCACTCTAGGTCAACCAGGAGGTCCGACAATGACATAGTTTGGCTGGCGAACTTGACTTCTGTCAAGCTCGCCAGCCAAGTGCATTCCAACAACACATGCAATTATATCGCGCAAAGGTCTGTCGAAAATTGTCATGCTGCCTAAACAGGCAAATTAAATTCATTTTGAAACTTAAGTGGCTAATCTAATTTTTATATAGCGCTGGGTGCATGACGAACTAATTAAACATACCAAAATCGACGATCTGTAGTGTCGATCTCCGATTGTCTATTTGAATAAGCGTGGTGACGCAAGGCGCCCCACCGCGGTGGTCTAGTGGCTAAGGTATTCGGCTGCTGACCCGCAGGTCGTGGGATTGAATCCAGACTGCGGTGGCTGCATTTCAATGGAGGGGGAAAAAGCTGTAGTCCCGTGTGCTCAGATTTGGGTGCACGCCTGTGATCTCGGTTTTCTTCACTGAGGCAATGTGCGAACAAGTCATAATTTTGCAAACCAAGCTGGTCGAAATTTATGGAGCCCTCCACTACAATGTCTCTCACCAACATATGGTGGTTTTGGGGCGTTAAGCCCCACATATCAATCATTATTATTGTGGTAACTAAAGAGTTAAAAGCATGATTGTGTGCACAACGAAGAATTATGCCTGTGGCTTTTCTATTAGGTTGGGGAATTCAACGACCCACTCGCTGTGCAATTCACGTTGTGCGAATCTTTGCTATTATATTACTGTCGTGAAACACCCTAATACACACGTTACCGCTAATCCTTACCCGACATGAAGCCTTCAAATGGCCAGCTTGCGACGGGGTTTAAGGCGGGCGTATCTCAGTGGTAGAGCACTGAGCGGCAACTCAGAGGTCCCAGGTCCTATTATCATCCTAGCCTTGGAACTTTTTATTTACTATGATTATGCTTTCATTTCGCGCCCTAGTAGATACGAACACTGCCGGTGCCGGACAACCACGGTGCCAGAAGCACTCCTTGTTGTGATCTAATAACAGGTCTCACTGTAAAAAAACAAACAAACTGGACAGCATGTCTTTTAACGAGACCGCATCTATCTATCTATCTATCTATCTATCTATCTATCTATCTATCTATCTATCTATCTATCTATCTATCTATCTATCTATCTATCCATCTATCTATCTATCTATCTATCTATCTTTCTATCTATCTATCTATCTATCTATCTATCTATCTATCTATCTATCTATCTATCTATCTATCTGTCTGTCTGTCTGTCTGTCTGTCTGTCTGTCTATCTATCTATCTATCTATCTATCTATCTATCTATCTATCTATCTATCTATCTATCTATCTATCCGCCTACGCCCCGCCGTGGTGGTCTAGTGGCTAAGGTACTCGGCTGCTGACCCGCAGGGCGCGGGTTCGAATCCCGGCTGCGGCGGCTGCATTTCCGATGGAGGCGGAAATGTTGTAGGCCAGTGTGCTCAGATTTGGGTGCACATTAAAGAACCCCAGGTGGTCTAAATTTCCGGAGCCCTCCACTACGGCGTCTCTCATAATCATATAGTGGTTTTGGGACGTTAAACCCCACATATCAATCAAATCAATTATCTATCCGCCTACGTGTGGGTGCTGTCGTGATCGCCTGCTTAACTTGAGGTGAACGGATTTTTAGTATGGGAGGGTAAGATAGTTTGGCGAATATGACTGGGTAGCCATGACGTGAATAATGTGACAATCATCATCATCATCAGCCTGACTACGTCCACTGCAGGACAAAGGCCTCTCCCATGTTCCGCCAGTTAACCCGGTCCTGTGCTTGCTGCTGCCAGTTTATACCCGCAAACTTCTTAATCTCATCTGCCCACCTAACATTCTGTCTCCCCCTAACCCGCTTGCCTTCTCTGGGAATCCAGTTAGTTACCCTTGACGACCAGCGGTTATCCTGTCTACGTGTTACATGCCCGGCCCATGTCCATTTCCTCTTCTTTATTTCAATTATGATATCCTTAACCCTCATTTGTCCCCTAATCCACTCTGCTCTCTTCTTGTCTCTTAAGGTTACACCCACCATTTCTCTTTCCATTTCTCGCTGCGTCGTCCTCAATTTAAGCTGAACCCTCTTTGTAAGTCTCCAGGTTTCTGCTCCGTAGCTAAGTACTGGCAAGATACAGCTGTTATATACCTTCCTCTTGAGGGATAGTGGCAATCTACCTGTCATAATTTGAGAGTGCTTGCCGAATGTGCTCCACCCCATTCTTATTCTTCTAGTTACTTCAATCTCGTGGTTCGGCTCTGTGGTTATTACCTGCCCTAAGTAGACATAGTCTTTTACAACTTCAAGTGCACTATTACCTATCTCGAAGTGCTGCTACTTTCCGAGGTTGTTGTACATTACTTTCGTTTTCTGCAGATTAATTTTAAGACCTACCTTTCTGCTCTCCTTGTCTAACTCCGTAATCATGAGTTGCAATTCGTCCCCTGAGTTACTCAGCAATGCAATATCATCGGCGAACCGCAGGTTACTAAGGTATTCTCCATTAACTCTTATTCTGAACTGTTCCCATTCTAGGCTTCTTAAAACCTCCTGTAAGCACGCGGTAAATAGCATTGGGGAGATTGTGTCCCCCTGCCTTACACCCTTCTTGATTGGTATTCTGTTGTGACAATCCCGTCACGTAAATCGTCAAACGCTTTCCGCCTGACACGCAGGAAAGGCGTAGAGGTCGAAAGCATGCGTCCACTCTCACTTGCACGCTTTTTAAGCGTGGAGCCGGAGTTAATAACAAATACTGCAACGTCGCAGCTTTCGTTAGTCTCTCGCATACAGTTTCAAATTTGAAGTACGGGAAATTACTATACGTGATTTAAGAAGTTCCTAATTTAAGGCAATATTTCACGGCTCTCGGTTACTTCATTAAATCGAGGCTTAACTGTAGTCTTACAAAGGCCAGGGCTCGTAAAAAAGCAGTGTTTACAGAAAGTAGACGATATTTTTTACCCTGGAAGGTGCCTGAATAGGTTGATGTATATAATGACACCAAAATAATTGTAGGCATGCATGGGAACGTCATAAATTTTAAGGCAGTTAAGCGTATGATTATAGGAAAAAATGAAGGTGTTCTTTTTTGCGGAAATAAAAAGGAAAGCACTTTTTTGAGTGTAACACCTCAGAATAGGTGCATCAATACGAAATATTGCTGAAGTTATGCGTAGGATCGTATTCGCCACTGATGTGCACGACTTCTTTAAACATAAAACTATCCACAAAGTGCCTTATTTGGACGCATCATTTAACAACATCAAGAATGTGAATCGACGGCATGCAGCAACCACGAAGTACATGTTTCCGTTTGGTGCCACTGAAGTTACTAAGTTATGTGGTAATGGTTAAGTTCTACTGGCTGAATGACTCCCACGTACATTTTAAAGGCTTGTAACAACGGTATTGAACACAGATGAAGACGGGAGAAATTAGAAATGCTATTTTCCCATGAAGGCGTATCTCTGTGCAATGAGCTTGATACGTCACCTGTTCACTGTTCATATGTCATATTTAAACCACGTTCAGTTGTGCGTCTGCACGCATCCTCTCTTCCACTCGTCTTCATTCCTGTTCAATAGCGTAGTTATAAGCATTTAAATTTACGTAAACCAACTAGCCTGACACATTGCTTAATCTATATCACTCGACTCTTAGCGATTGTTTATGTACGCAGTGGTACTATAAATATTAAGTTGCAAAAGGACATGAGCTTTTGGCAAAATGTTTAGCTTTAAATGGCGTACCTTGTCGTAGGCTTTGCTATAATTAATAAAAATAAATACGTTTGGACGTGATTATGAAAAGAAACGAATATTTATGCATAAGGATGACAAGCATCCTCGAGATGAATTCAAAACATGTCTGTTTAGAACCAGCGATATTTCATAATGGAACATTTAGAGCACAAGAAATTCATTCTGTGGGAGTCTTTGAGCCCATAAAGCGACTTTCGCCACCTAGTGACTGCTCTAGAAACGGAAGAGAAGCAGCGCCGCGCCTTCGGCCTGGTTTGTTCATGCCTTTATTCCGGCCCTGTATTGTATACATTGCATTGCTTAAAGCATAGAATGGGAATATTTTGTTATCTGTTTCGGCGTTAGGGCTGATAAAATTTTGAGCCCGCATGTTACCGTTGATCTACAGGCAAGCTCCTTAACGCAGCCCTAATAGCGATAACTACTGGCAGCATTTATAGAACAACCCTAATCAGCACGCATTTGCAGTAGCTAGGTAGGCGATAGACTTTATTGACGCCTTGTAGAAGTCATCCCCCAGTGAGGGAGAACCGCCGACCGCTGTGACGTTGGAACTAGAGGGCTAAGCCTCACTGCCGCGTCGTGGGCCTTCGGGAGGGCCTCGTAATAAACTGTAAGCACATGCATGTAAATCTTGCTTACGCCTACCTTTCAGGTCTGAAACAATTAAATGGCGGTCGTCGTAAGTCCGTACCACGTACTCCCGCTTTGAGTTCAAATCTCTTTTTATATCATCTGCAATGGGCAGCAAAATATTTGCAGTTATGCTTAAAGATGTTTGATGACGGCACCTGGGACTCGATTATGCTTTAATTTCCGAAAATACACCACACACACACACACACACACACACACACACACACACACACATATATATATATATATATAGTCCAGGAGATCCTCCGTGAGCGGTCACAACATGGTTTATTTCAACGTTTCGGCCTACAGTCTGACCTTCATCAGGATATATATATATATATATATATATATATATATATATATATATATATATATATATATATATATATTATAAAGGAGATTTATTAAGCAGAAAGGTTGGTGCTTGGAAGGCTTGGAAGGCGATGCACCAGCCGCAATTTCCGAGCTCGAGCCGCTGCTGCACACTCGATGCTGCTGCCTCTGCGCCGGAGTACTTCCTCTCCTTTACAATGGCCCCACGGAGAAAAAAAGGAGCCATCCTGGCGACTTAGTCCTGGGCAGGCGGCGTTGAACCGTGGTATTGCTTGAGCCTCTGGACGTGTACAACCTCGCGGTTGCGACGTCGCAAGTCTGATGGTGGCGTAAGAGGCTCAATGAGGTAGTTTACTGGTGAAGTTTGTTCGACAATACGATATGGCCCATCGTACTTTGGCAGAAGTTTGGAAGAGAGCCCTGGTGTGCGATGCGGCACTGACAGCCATACAAGAGAACCCGGAAGAAAAACGGGAGTTGAGGTCTGGGCATCATGCATTGCTTTTTGCCTGTTTTGGTCATCGCAGGTAAAGCGACGAGCTAACTGGCGGCATTCTTCTGCGTGTCTGGCGGCGTCCAAGATCGGTAGGCACTCGGACGCGTCTGGTCGATAGGGCAAAATGGTGTCAATGGTGTGGGAGGGGTGACGGCCGTAAAGGAGGTAAAAAGGGGAGAAGCCTGTTGTCGCTTGCGTTGCCGTATTATAGGCGTATGTAATGAATGGGAGAAATAAGTCCGAGTTAGAGTGGTCAGGCGTCACATACATAGATAGCATGTCACCGAGAGTACGATTAAAGCGCTCGGTAGCCCCATTGGTTTGTGGGTGGTAAGCGGTACATGTGCGATGTACAATAGCACACTCAGCGAGCAATTTTTCAATGACCTCGGACAAGAAGGCGCGGCCGCGGTCACTGAGGAGTTCTTGAGGGCCTCCATGACGCAACACAAAATGACGCAGTAGGAAAGTGGCAACCTCCTGTGCTGTAGCCGTTTTAAGAGCAGCGGTCTCAGCATAGCGCGTTAGGTGGTCGATAGCAACTATTATCCACCTGTTGCCAGTCGGAGTCAATGGGAGTGGCCCATAAATATCTATTCCAACCCGTTCGAAGGGTCGGGAAGGGCATGGTAAAGGCTGCAGTTCACCGGCGGAGGCGTGTGGTGGAGATTTTCGGCGCTGACATTCGGCACAAGAGCGGACGAAGTTGCGAACGAAGGTATACATGCCACGCCAGTAGTAGCGATGTCGAAGCCTTTCGTAGGTCTTGAAGACTCCTGCATGGCCACACTGTGGGTCAGCGTGAAAAGAGGAACAAATCTGCGACCTCAGGGTTCGTGGAACGACGAGCAGCCACTTGCGTCCCTCTGGTGCGTAGTTGCGTCGATAGAGAAGCGTGTCACGTATCGAGAAGTGTGGAACTTGGCGCCGAAGCGTTCGCGTCTTTGGGAGTTCAGAAGTGTCGGAGAGATGATTGAGGAGAGACGCAGTCCACGGGTCATTGCGTTGTTCGATAGCAATGGTCTCAAAGTCAAGCGATGACAATGTGGAATCGCAAGCGGAGTCAGCTGTGGCATTCTGGGGCAGGGGGGAACGGGAAAGGGCGTCGGCGTCAGCATGCTTCCGTCCTGACCGATAAACCACGCGTATGTCGTAATCTTGAATTTTCAACGCCCAGCGAGCGAGGCGGCCAGATGGGTCTTTTAACGTCGAAAGCCAGCACAGCGCGTAGTGGTCGGTCACGACGTCAAAAGAACGACCATATAGATATGGGCGAAACTTTCCAAGGGCCCACACAATGGCCAAGCACTCCTTTTCTGTGACGCTGTAGTTGCTCTCAGCCTTGGTAAGCGTGCGACTAGCGTATGCCACGACGTATTCCTGATGTTCCGGTTTACGCTGTGCGAGCACAGCACCCAGGCCTACACCGCTGGCGTCGGTGTGGATTTCAGTTGGAGCTTCAGGATCGAAATGGCGTAGAATGGGTGGCGTCGTAAGAAGCCGTCGCAGGGTGGTGAAAGCCTCGTCGCAGGCAGGGGACCACGATAAGAGGTCTTTACAGCTGCTGAGAAGTTGCGTGAGAGGTGATATAATAGACGCGAAGTTTCGGACGAATCGCCGGAAATACGAACACAAGCCGATGAAACTTCGAAGTTCTTTGATGGTGGCAGGTTTAGGAAACGCCGTAACAGCTCGCAATTTCTCGGGATCCGGGAGGATGCCTTCCTTGGAAACAACGTGGCCCAAAATGATCAGTTGACGCATGGCAAATCGACATTTTTGAGGTTTAATTGCAAACCGGCGTTAGTTAAGCAAGTAAGGACGTGCTGAAGGCGACGTAAGTGTGTGTCAAAGTTAGGGGCGAAGACCACGATATCATCGAGGTAACACAAGCATATCTTCCATTTTAGTCCACGCAGGATGTTGTCCATCATTCGTTCGAACGTTGCAGGTGCATTGCAAAGTCCGAAGGGCATGACGGTGAATTCATAGAAGCCGTCTGGCGTGACAAAAGCGGTTTTGGGGCGATCGGCCTCCGCCATAGGCACCTGCCAGTAGCCTGATCGCAAGTCTAACGAGGAAAAGAACTCGGCACCCTGCAAACTGTCCAAAGCATCGTCAATGCGCGGTAGTGGATAGACATCCTTCAGCGTGATCTTGTTCAATCGCAGGAAATCGACACAGAAACGAATAGAACCGTCTTTCTTTTTGACGAGAACCACCGGAGACGCCCATGGGCTCTGTGAAGGTCGAATGACGCCTCTGCGAAGCATGTCGTCTACTTGGTCAGCAATGACGCGGCGTTCTGTAGCGCACACGCGATATGGTCGTTGTCGCAGTGGTGAGTGGGACCCAGTGTCGATGTGGTGTTCTACTGCTAAGGCACGGCCGAGAGATGTTTGTTCAACGTCGAAAGAGTGGCGGTAGCTCTCAAGAATGGTGAGGAGTTGTGAACGCTGCGAAGATGTCAAATCTGCAGTGATGAATGGTTGAAATATGTTTGCCGACGTTGAGTCAGGCGCTGAGACGACAGCCAGTTCACAGACGGAGGTAGAAGGCACCTCATCGGGGACGGATATAATTCTGGAAGAACTGATTGTCTCGACGTGGCCAAGGCACTCGCGACAAAGTAGGGATAAAGACGACGACTCATGATTATAAATTGGCATTGTGGTTGACCCTTCTACAAGATCGAGAGCAGCAAAAGGCAGGGGGAGAGCTCTTCGGGCGACGAATATTGGAGATGGTGTGAAGAACACCGTGCCGTCGGATATGGCGCTGCATGAAACTGGCACGAACGCAAAAGAGCATGGAGGGATGTAGGTGTCATCGCTAACGACAAGTTTAGCGGCAAACTGGGTGTCGACGGACGCTTGGTCATCCAGTGAGCAAAATTCAACCTCAGCCCTAGCACAGTCGATTACGGCGTTATGACGCGACAAAAAGTCCCATCCCAAAATAATATTATGGGAGCATGATGAAAGAACCACGAACTCTATCGTATACAGAACGTCCTGAATTGTCACGCGGGCTATACATACTGCGGTCGGTTGAACAGGTTGAGCACTGGCTGCGCGAAGCGATAATCCGGAGAAAGGCGTCGTAACCTTACGAATTGAGCGGCAAAATCCAGCATCTATAACCGAAACAGCTGCACCGGTATCTACAAGAGCGGCAGTAGGGATATTTTCGACGAACACATCAATAACATTGGTAGGTGACAAATGAGGACTTGGGCAAACCGAAACTTGCGCAGTTCTTGCCTCAGGAACTGCGTCGTCTAGTTTTCCTCCTCGTTAGGTGCGGGCCGTCGACGCATAGGAGAAGGCGAGCGGCGGCGTGGAGAGGGCGAGCGAAGACGTCCCGGCCGAGGGCGGTGGTCGTCCTGGTAGCGGGCTGGCATTGGAGTGGAGGAACCGTATCGCGCGTTGGAGTCAAGCGGGAAGAAAGGCTCACGGCGATTTTCATTGGTGATATGCGTCCGGCGGCGACAATACCTTGCGACGTGTCCGGGGTATCGACAAGCGTAACATATCGGGCGATTATCGAGGGTGCGCCACGGGTTGGCGGTGTTAGTGCTGGTCCAGTGAACTGGAGCTGGGGGATAGCTCGCGCGAGGCTGGAACGGAGGCGCAGGCGCCTTGCGAGTTGGCATGGCTGCAGCCGCGGCGTAGGTGAGAGGAGCAGCCACAAGATTAGGCTCGCGAGCAGCTGGTAAGGCCTCGGCGACCTCTCCTTGAATGACGTCACGTAGAGACGATGGTAAAGTTGTGGCAGCTTCTGGTGTGAAAGGCACCAAGGAAAGCTGTCGTGCAACTTCTTTGCGGACAAATGCTTTTATTTCGGCTCTTAGTGACGCTTGGTCATGACCATTGGTCACACTAGACAGTGATGCCAAATCATGCACTGGAGGACGTCTTGTCAGAGCTTGCTGCTTCCGCAATTCATCGTAGCTTTGGCAGAGGCTAATTACGTCGTTAACAGTGGTCGGGCTTTTCGCCAAGAGCATTTGAAAAGCGTCGTCGTCAATCCCTTTGAGGATGTGCTCACATTTTTCTGCTTCCGTCATTGCGGCGTTCACGCGTCTGCACAAATCGACGACGTCCTCTATGTAACTTGTGAAGGTTTCACCCGTTTCTTGAATGCGTGTGCGTAAACGTTGCTCGGCACGAAGTTTTCGGACGGCAGGTCGATCGAAGACTGCTACAATCGACGTTTTAAATTGCGGCCACGTTCGGACGTCTGCCTGGTGGTTTCTAAGCCAAAGGCTGGCTACACCCGCGAGATAGAACGAAACGCGTGTCAACTTGTCCGCGTCCGTCCATCTGTTTAAAGCGCTCACCCGTTCGAAAGTCGAGAGCCACTCTTCAACGTCGTTGTCATCTGTTCCACTGAAGATTGGAGGCTCCCGCTGAGGAACACTGCCTGGACAGGTGGCCGGAAGAGATGGAAGCGTCTGCTGATCGGCGTCCGGCATAGCAGAAGGTAGCCGTCGAGAACGGAGTTCCAGGATGGTAGCTGGAAGGTGTAAGGGACGGTACCCGGCACGTCTCCACCAATTATAAAGGAGATTTATTAAGCAGAAAGGTTGGTGCTTGGAAGGCTTGGAAGGCGATGCACCAGCCGCAATTTCCGAGCTCGAGCCGCTGCTGCACACTCGATGCTGCTGCCTCTGCGCCGGAGTACTTCCTCTTCTTTACAATATATATATATATATATATATATATATATATATATATATATATATATATATATATATATATATATATATAAGGTAGTAAAAGCTGCTTACTTGAAGTTTCTTTCATAACAAGCTCTTGATCAGAATAGTTGACTGTTGGGCGTGTTGGTACTTTGACATTGAAACCATCGTGAGAGAACAGGCGCAATGCTGTTTCCCCGATGGTGTACATGTCAACGCTATCGATACTTAACTCGTTCACACGCTTGAAAATGCCCATACACACATTAGATAGTTGAGAAGTACATATATAGTTGCCGCTCAATAGTTAATAAATAAAAAGTCGACATATTTTGTCGAAACCTCTTTTTTGTGGCTTATTATTCAACGCAAAAGCTATTACGTAAATCTTGAACAAGCTCATACGTTTTAGCAATGTAATGAAAAATGTTCCTTTCAACATCATCAATGGAGATTCAATCGAAAATCAATTTTCATTTTTCATAAATGAAGGTCCAGATATTTTTTTCGTCTTAAGCTGTTTTATTATCAAAACACAATTATCCAACGAATATGTAAAATTGAGTTTGACAAATAGCATAGAAATAGTTTTGTGGAGCATCATTGGCATCTGTCAACCATCCCATCACATTTTAATTGAGAAAAGCCAATCATGAAGGATGACCATTGGCGTTCTTTCCTTCTTTTTTTCGTTTAGTTGTACACAAGTCTGATGGCGCTTCATATGTGTACTTATATCTATAATGAAACAAATACCCACTGCAAGTTAGAGATATTTGCACTGTCGGGGAATCGCCGTCATTGCCTTTATTTTCACACTCTTACATACATCCCGACAAATGTATGAAAACTCAACAAGCATAGAAAACTCATTTTCTTTGTAGTTTGATAGTGACTATTAAAGATGAATACTTTGTAGAAGAAGCAGATGGTGTGACTGGAGAAATGTTTAGTTGAGAATAAGTAGGATGCTCATATCTTTCTGAGCAGGAAGAATAACTTAACTAGTTACCTTACAATGTCGCCACAAAATAAGCAAAAAGCCTGAGGGTGCAAACATATATGTACTGCTACACTTGGGGGGCACTAAATATGTGCATTCCATTCTCTCACGACATATCATTCAATTGAAGGACGGGATGTGCTTTTGTTAAGCTTTACATCTATTTACACCTAATATATAAAGAAAGCAGGCCTCCACTATTTAATGCATCCCGTGCGCTCTGTGTATCATAACAGTGGTACCATTGAAAAACTGACAAATGCAAACACAGGTGTGACAGCGGCTAGGTAAGTGAGAGAGGGGAGCCTTTAATGAAGTGTGGCTTTCCTTTACGCGTACATTGATACACCGCCTGATGTAGGCTATGCACACTTCACCACAACTAAGTGGAACTTCGTCTTCGTGCGGAGTGTCACTACCACACGGGATAAGTGAACCTTGAGTGTGAAACAGCAAGCGCAAAAGTGGGACAATAATGTACGACACACGGGCGTAGCACTGGCACAATTTAATTAAGCAGTGCCATTTCAGTGATGTTGCAAGTTCGTTATTTGCCGTTTATTGCTGGTTAAGTGATAACGAAGACTCACTTGTTAGAGTTGTATCTGTGTTCTAGTTTGTCGTCCTATTTTTTCATGATGTTTCAGACCAGGATGTACAGCCAATGGCTCGCATACAATCGGTAAACCTTCAATTGTGCTTGGTCTGACTGCCAGCGTTCTGGGAATGAAGCCTTCCTCTGAATGCTTGATTGTTGACAAGTTTTTATTTTGTTAATAAAAGAACATTCTTGTTTCACCTAATAGTCGAGTGATGTAGCACATTCAGGCACATTGTCCGAACATGTGAACACTACTTCTTTGTGCATGTTCACTCGTAAAGTTGCCGCAGAGGAAGAAGAAACACTGAGATGCGATTAATTTAGTTTTTCGAAGGCAATACCATATTTGCCGAGTTACCTCACGTGTTACATTGTGGAAGCGACGCAAAAAATACAATCGTTGTTAGCTCACAGTGAATGCAACAACTCACAAATCGCACACACACTTCATCTTTTGATTCTTTTTATGACAAAGTAGGGCGTGAGTGACTTCACAGTAAACTTACAATTATTATGGATCAGTACAATTTTGCGATCTTGCAATCTCTGGGTAGGGCTGACGTCGATAGTGACTTATTTTCTGCAAGTCACTTTCGACGTTTGACCTACCTGCATATTGCACGATCGCAAGAATTGTACTGATCCATAAGTCAGGAGACACTAATGCTCCATCCAACCACAGACCAATTTCCCTTACCAGCACATTATGTAAAATTTTAGAGCCCATTGTTGTACTTGAGAACTTCACCACATGTTTCTAAGAAAACATTCTGGTTGATGTTCGACATGGTTTTAGAAGAGGCTTATCGACAGTCACTCAGCTTGCAGAGGTGGTTCATGATCTCGCATTAGGTATTAACAACCATAATCAAACAGACACACATCTATTTGACTTCAGTGAAGCATTTCACTGTGTGTGCCATATCAAAATTGCCAAAATTACTGCTGCGATTGGTGATGGTTCCATCACTGCATAGATAAAGAGCTTTTTATTTGATTGAGCCCAATTTGTCATTATCGAAAACATCTCATCTGCTCATGTGCCGGTGAATGCAGGCCTCCCCCAGGGCTCAGTAATAGGCCCGCTGTTATTTTTGTTTTTCATGAATGAAACAGCATCGTGCATTGATTGTAAAGTTAATATTTTCACAGATGACTGTATAATATATCAGAAATTACACAACAGTCAAGACCTCGTTTTACTTAATAGCACTCCAACGAAAATAAGCGATTGGTGTGACAGGTGGCAAATGAGCCTTAATACAAGAAACTTCTATGTTTAAGTGAACTTTCATATTATTTGATGCATTGTGTAATGTGTTGATTCAAGTTATTACCGAAAACATTTGTCGACCGGAGTTTCTTTGCGTCTATGTGTCTGCTTTCTTCGTCTCAGTCGCGCTGCCTGTATACAAGCGTGAAACAACTCGTGCAATTCCAAAAGGTAAAGTTCCTATTACAGTGTACTCACGCGGTTTACGAGAATAAAGAGCACCACCTGAGAAACTTCCGTAGTACTATACTCGCAAGCAGTCCACCATGGGTGAAAATGTGGGCCTAAGCAGCAGATGGATATCATTTCCTTAAAGAATTGCTGCAGTTAAAATAAGGTCGTCCAGAGCAATTTGAGAACCTTATTTATTCAACGAACATATCTCTACCAAACCTGGACACTTAAGCTTTATGGCACTGCCCACCTGCAAATGACTGCTCATAATGTTTCAATGAAGCCAGCGCTCTCGTTGCATCACATGAATCTGCACTATTTGGTAACACAGTACACACTTTACCCGTATATTATAACACTCAGAACATCTATTTTCAAACAAGTATTTTAAGTGACAAGTGCAGTACTATAACTGCACACAGCTCGAGACAATCAGTGTTGCACTGCGTATCGAGCCGGTCGCTTTCATAGCCATCTAGCCTGATTACTCAGGATCAATCACAAACGCAAGTGCACCACGCCCCATGTTTACGTTACAGGTAGCGGCATCACACACGCTACGCGTCCTTTATTGAGGTCGACTTGCAGATGCAGCATAAGACTGGACGATTCTGCACTCCTCTCTCCAAGTGGTTATCAAAAGGAAATGAAGAGAAAAGTGCCGACCCGTAACATTCTCTCCTTACAAAAGCACCTCAACAGGTCGGCACAGGAATAGGGTGGGAGAAGGGGAGTGAAAGAGATATGAAGAACATAGAGGATCATCGTAAGAAGAGAACCCGCACACGGAAGCTGAGAAGAGATAGGAAAGATGGAAACGGTCAGACGAGATCGAGGACGGGGTGCGCCGATCTGGCGAGAGCTACAGCACCGGAGATGAAAGACGACACACCGAAAACTGTTCAGCTTGAGTTCCTCGGAGCGAATTCCGCACGCCTAACGAGAAATCGATAGCGTATTAGGAAGCGATCTGTGCTAAAGTACGGCTTGCATACTGTTACACCGTGCATAGACAGGCAAATAAAGCACCGGGAATAGAGCCATCATTTCGTATCGATGCGAGCGGCACTTCGCATGCCCATAAACATGCGTATAAGAAATCTGATAAAGCGTGGTGCTTTCATATTCAATTTGGCTAGTGCGGCACTCTCCACCGAAACATGAACCACTGAACCCTATCCCTAAAATGTCTACGGGCAAGTATCTCGAAGACGCGTGTTTTCACAGTGTCGAGGAGAATATTTCACCACTTTCACAATTACAGCTCATTTCACTGTACAGTTGCACAGTGTCCCGACGAGACGCTCTTGCCACTTTTGCTGCAGCGCACGTCGCTAGCAGACGACGAGGCGCGGAAGGATACACTTAGATGTGCTCGCCTATCTGATTGGTTTAGAAGGCCTGTAGCTTACACAGTGCTGCATGTAACTGCTGGAACAGAGTATAGTTACCGGGCGCACAAAGGTCACTGCACTCGTTGCACAATCTCCGTTTGCGAAAAGGCCGTGCTTTTCAGACACACCAAAGTAACAACTGAGACGCTTATTCGCGTTCATCTGTACCTGTGAGTACGTTTCGTGCGTCATTTGTGCGTGAGAAACGCGGGGTACGTTTCGATCTGCCTGTCATTCTTCGCGTGACTTTCTGATTTGTTGCTATCGTATTCATTGCTTCGCCTTTGCGGCAAAGCTGTGACTTTTTTCCTGCGTGCACGCCATGCCAACAACGCCGCAGCCTTTTCGATCCTGAGTGGGCCGCGCCTACCTATGGAAACACGCTCTCTCCGTGTGACTAGGACGGCTGGAGAGAAACACGCCGCGCGCCCGCCATTTCGGAGGCCATGGCTACGACGACGGGCAAGGGACAAGCCCCGACCGTCAGCTGCTTCGCATCTAATATATATTTCAGCTTACCTGGACCGTTCAAGTACAGTAATGCAGAATATTGTGGCCATTTTACTTTAAAAGCTGATGTCCTGTAAAGAGAAGCGTGTACTTGAGAACATTATACGTTATATTATGTAAAAGCACCACAGACATTGGCGTGTCACACAAGAAAGAAAAGTGATTTTGCCAAATGTGTGGAAGGCAGAGGCATGTTTTAGGTCTCGGACATGCATATTGAATACGTCGTGCTTTTGGTAAAGTCAGTGGACATTGTGGTGTTCGAAACCTTGATTTAAGTGCGCTAACGTAAATTTTAGCTCTCTCACAGCGGAGCTACTTTTCCATGGGTCTTGGTATAAGAATTATATTAGCAATGTGCCTCTTCATTCACGGTACAAAAGCACACATTAGACATATATTCATTGTCGCCCATCATAATACTGTTGCTTTGCCGCTATAGAGACCACTAGTTATGTTTTTGAAGATGTCGTCACTTGTCTGGGCTGGTTGTCGTTGGACGCTAAACAACTGGCAGGACGACTAGCCGCTGTGTTGTGTAGTGTTGCCTATTACAACTAGAAGTGGGCGTTCTTGTTATTGAACTGTGGCTCTAAAACAAGGGTCAGTGTGAAACCTAAACCTACAACATGGCCAAATGGCGAAAATTTACCCCGATAAATAAACCTCAACTTCTAAAGCTAGAGGCGCTGTTTTCATCCCAACCTGCCTTGACAACACACTTCCGTGTGTCACCAGACATCAGAGGAGCAGATCTCGCCATCTGCATACTGCCAATATTTTGATTATGCAGACTTAACGTCAAAATTATGTTTGTTTGTTTTTACTAAACTATATTTACTGAAAGTGCCATCCACTTTACAATATACGGTGTAGAAAATCACTTAAGAAGCCGAGTGGCGTGGTTCATCAAGCTTCGTCAAAGGGACATGGCGATCTCTGGTGGTTGCGGGCGTATTGTGGCATCGAAACGTTCTCACTGTGACGGTATCAGGTGTTTCGTACTGTACTTTCGAAAGCAGACAATTAAACTCTTAGCGCAAGTGACCGCAAGGTAATGACCCTCTTTGGAGTCGCGCAGAAAGGAATGCTTTTTTAGCAGTGGTGGGTCTTCCACCAAGGCGATTTCAATTGCCTCGTATTCCAAATTTTAAAGTGGGCCTACGATTCTTTCACGGTAACATTGGGGCAACCTAGAAAACGGTAGATTACATTTTCATCGGTGGATCACATTGACAACTGTGGACTACATGTTCAAAAATTGGTAGGTATGCTAAGTTAAATATCTCTTTTAGTTGCTGCTACCACATAATTGTAATAGAGCAATTGGTGATGTGTAATCTGGGCGATCTTGCGCGCTATGTATTGGTAAAAAGTATTCACTATTACTTTTCCTTTTATTAGATGCAGTACGACAGCAAACGCGAGAAGATTGACCAACGTTCGTGAATGGGGCACATTACACGAAACGAAAATGGGGAAGCAGATGCAAACACATATCCTTCGCTTTGCGCTTATGGTGATGTGCCTGTTTAGTGTAATGGTGTTCACGAACTTTATTGCATTTGCTGAATCTCGGAATAAACTAGCCTATAAACCTGCTTCGAATCTCGGAATAAACTAGCCCACAAACCTGCTTCGGGCCTACAAGCCCGTCTGCCTCTATAGGGGCTATCATGACCTAAATTTGACGTTTTCATGGAAATGTCATGACAGCTCAACATTTCAAAATATTATGTTGACTTCGTGGAAAAGCGCGAATACTTCATACTACAGCGTTCCCTCATCACCAACAGCCCGAAAAGAGATGACGCTGTGGTCGCAGATTGCTGCACTCAGAATATAAAGGTAGACGTTCACTTTTATTTATTTATTTTATTTATTTATTTATCTATTTATTTATTTATTCAATATTTTATTTATTTATTTATTTTTTCATTTATTTATTCGCTTCCATAAGGGATCATTACAGGAAGGGCATTTTCACTTGGTACAAAAGCAATGCATATATCAAATATTCCTTTACAAGTAAACAAAATATTGACAGTTAACCAGGAAACGTAATAGTACAAGATATTAGCAGTACATCTTAATACAGAAAAATAATTGTGATCACAAAGGTATCAAAACCGACTGCTTCCGGTAGGTTATACCTTTGGTGTAATAATAATAATAATAATAATAATAATAATAATAATAATAATAATAATAATAATAATAATAATAATAATGAAATATGCAGAAATATTGCTGACAGGTAGTTTTTACTAGGGCAGCACGGAATTCGATTTTCTGGCAATGTTATAAAAAATATTACGTTGAGCTCGTTACAAAAGGATCCAGCATATTCCATTCATATATCATTGAAAACAAAAATGGATACTTATTACTTTTCGTGTGAATAACATGCTCATACGACTACAATAGGTGTTTACGACAGTTCCGATATCTAAATAACTTGTAATTGTCAAACTTTTTCTCTGTTATTTAACTTATACATTATTTTGAAACGCACCAACTTTGTTCGGTTTTGTTAGGTGAGGATATCGTCATGTTTTAGCAATTCTGTGAGACATGTATACGTTAAGAAAAGCTTGTGTAGGGGCTAGTTGGAACATAAAGCAGGAAAAGGCTGCGCTGCAAAGTTGAGACGCGCTTTCCCTGTGTCAGTCCAGTTTTTCGTCCTTAACTTTGCAGCGCAGCCTTTCCTGCATGTATACGGTACAAGATAGAAGTTTAAGTAGCGATTGATGTTTGTGGGCGCGTTTAAGTATATTTCTTTGTGGTCTCTCTAGTGTCGCACGCAGACTACTACAGTTCGTGGGGCGCAGTAATGTCTTTTTAACATTAATACATATAACAATGACTAGGGCTTCACATGCCAAAAGCACTGTATGAATATGTGACGGATGTGGTTATGAAGGGCTCCGGATATTTTGATGCCTGCGGTTTTCAAGCGTGCACCTAATGCTAAACCCATGGGCCTTCATATCACGTTCATTGCAGTGCAGCCACCTAGGCCGCTTAGAATGGGGGATTTCATTGTAAGTATGAGATTCTTCTATAAATGGCTTTGAAGCTATCCTCAAGATCACTACCTCTTATTTTCATGTGATCGTTGTTGACATGTTTGTATGTCACATTTCACAATCGAGATAAGACAATAAGGATATGTTAATTTCAATGGTAAAAAGTTATCATGTCACTACTCTTAGACGAAGTTATGCTGACATATTTTACGAGTTTATGAACGTATGGGTTTGCTGTTTGCTGTAGAACTTATTTCTACGTGTAATCTACAGCACTAAAACATAGTAACATACGTACTGTCCATTCCAAGGCTTTTGTCTCTGTGAAAAAAAGAAAAAAAAGATATTTTGGTGATACATCTTGAGTGCCGTCGTTTCATTCCTTTCCAAATATTCTTCACCAGTGTTTATGAAAAGGGAAAAGGGGGAGTGATTTAGAGCTTGTTTTTTTATACAGAAACAACCTAATGAAAGGAACGGCAATTCAGCAGAAAGACGTATAAGAAACATTGTTTGTGTGTTTTAACTGTAGTATAGAAGTGAAAGTTTTATGAAAAGGAAGTAAGAGGAGATGAAAAATAAACTCGCCGCAGTTAAAGAGTGAACGCACATACAGCCTTCGGACAACGCATCCAATGCTCCACCAATTAGGCCACAGCAGCGGTCATTTGCCTTCCACTCTCTTTGGCATTTATACTTCTGCAAACCTGCAAGTTTTGAAGGGACTGACAACTGCACAGGAAATGAAATGACTGTATGGATAGAAAGATCGTCCGTCGTAGCTACTCTAACCAACCCTGTTTTTCTGGTGAAAAGTGAATTTACTTTTTTATTTCTTCATTGAAAATCACAAAAAAATAGCCTGTGGCGCCACCTGATGGCAGAATTTTCAAATATCAGATGTGCTCTGCCATATGTCCGTAAACTATAGACTGTACGTGGTCCACACTTTTTCTTTGAACATTGGAATATTGTTTGCTTCTTTATAGTAAAAGATATTACTCCATAAAATACACTTAGAGACCTGCAATAATAGTATGCACTAAAGTGGTGCTGCCTTCGCATGACATAATGATCTCGCGCTCGTCGACGCTTTCTGAGCAATTTTTCTGCGTTATCTTGAAACCGTGCACGCAGTTTGCAGGCCGCTAAGATTTTGGAGTGACGTGGTTTGTCTATCTGCTATTTGTCTCAGATGTGACGTGTAGTGCTGGTCGGCACGGCCGCGCATATGCACATTGACGTTTTCGGTCACTTGGCTTGACTAGTGTATCGAGAGAGTAACGATGACGGGACAAGCCATCCACGACACAGGCTCATCAACCTTGGGCGCAGGCGCACGCAGCGCGATGTAAATACAGAGAGCTGTATAAAGCCACATCGTCTCATTGTAACGGTTTTTTATTTTCAGAAAAAAAAATTACGGCATATTGATGCTGTGAGTGATGATGAGTGAGGCGAAGCTTCGGCGGGTTTCATTGGTAAACCGCGAATATTACAGAGTTTAACTTTGTGGTGCACCAATGTTCAGGCCATCGAAACGTGCTTGCTAACATGTGGTCGCGATTATTCCAGCAGTCCTCTTTGAGACAGTCACTCACAGTTATGCGAGAAGAGCACAAAGATTGTCAGGATCTTCATCGCATTCTGTCATCTTCAGAATCGTTGCAGCATGGCATTTCCTTAATTGATGGTATCCTGTACCACAGTTATGTGACAACAAGTTCGCTAGCTATCGTAGTGCCAAGAAAGGTTCGCCAGGCTTTCCTAGAAGTTGTTCATGATGGGGGAGGCCAGATGGATGTAAACCGGACACTGGCAAAAGTGCGAGAACGATACTTGAAGTGACACCTTGCGCCCTCAGACACCGAATACGTCAGGCAACGACAGATATGCCAAAGCAACAACTACCCATAGTTCTAAATGTGTTGGCAAAATGGGTCTCATATCAGCGCCAGACGTTCCTTTTGCCATAAATCTACTTGATCAAATCACAATGACAGCCGCTTCAGGAGAGAAGTACATTATGAACGCCCGTGACTTTTCTATGAATTTTATTTTTCAAGTGGCTGCATTTTAACTACAGCTAAGGAAATGAAGAACACTTGCAGTTGGTGTTGTGAGGTTTGGTTGCCCTGATGACTGCATTTGTGACCATGGAGCAGCTTTTCAATTTTGGCAGTTAAAGCGATTCCTGCACATGCGCGGTGCTGTTCACTTCTTGGTTGTATACCGCACAGCCAACTTTTTTCTGTAAAAACAGGCAATCGTACTTCAGTCTCCCTTGTACTAAGCTGCGTCTATCTGATCTGACCTCTGGGACAGCAAGTTAAAAGAAGCTACTTTAGGCATAAACACAAGCTACAGTGCCAGCAGCTGTTTATATCCACTTGAATTACGTAATGAACACGTTCCCAAGCTCCCATATTATTGCAAACATCTTGCTACAGCCAGGACTCTGCAAGATCGCGTCCTAACGTTTTCTCAGAACCCGACCGTGGCAGCAAGCAATAGCAAGGAAGCACAAGAGAACCGGAAGATAACGCATGATTAGTCTCATTAAGACCAGTTCTTTCAAGTCGATCAGTTCGTCTGTGTCTCCGGCCAAGAGCCTGTAACAGCTTGAGCGGAAATGTTGGCCACAAAATTAAAGGGAGCCTATTACCGACCAAAAAATTCATGTTCCGCTTGTCGTTAGTAGTTTAGCTGATCAATGTCCTCGTGATCGACCCCAAAACAGGGTAGCGTCACTCATTTGACTCTACCAGTGTTAGCAATGAGTTGTTTTAACTGTCAGTTTCCACTGGCTCTGCAGTTTCGCCCTCAGCATAACCCTCATCATGACCCCATCACCAGAAGCACCCACCCGGGCGCTTGAAGGACTATCGCAGTGAAGGCATCAAACAATGCCTCTTTGCTAGACCAAAGGGGCTTGGTCAAACAACGAGGGACGAATTTGAGCGTCCGCCCGAGTGGTTGCGTAGCGGCATGCCTAATCAGTTGCGCCATCTGCGATACCATTTAAAGCATCTCAACAGCAGGCCCCACCGAGGGTAGGGACTCATTTAATCACAGTACCACCTATGATGCAGACAGCATGTTTTGATTATGTGTCTATAAAACGCGTTCTTCTGATTTCACAATGTCCAGGCCTCCGTGCCTAGCCCTCTTACCGGAGTCCTTCGATATGGTATCTGTCATAGTTATATCATGGCTTCGAGGCGTTAAGCGCCAACGATTATTATATTATGCACAACTCTTTTTCTTTATCACTGTACGTAATATTTTTTCTTGTTTGCCTCTTCTTAACATTGACACCTGCCTTCCTCAGCCTCACTTTCCTTCCCTCGTTTTACACTATATTATGCTACACGGGACTATACTATACAAGGCTACACCATATGTCTGCTGACTGCAAATACTATTACTTCTGAAATGTAATGCTTGAGACAGAGCTTATATTTCATACGCAAGATGTTCTTTCTAAAAAGAGAAACAATGCAGCGTGATGTGATAACATGGATACTGCAAGAAAGGAAGAAATGTAGAGGAAGATAGAATTTTGAAGGGATGCAATATTTTTTAACAATAGGTGTCGCTGTAGCCAATATTTCTAGAAGTGAACACGTGAGCTGTAGTTTCGATGAACACAAGTCTGCTTCTCAAAACGTTACTTCCAGTGATGTCCCATGTGAAAAAAATAATCTCAGGTCATAAAAGGGCGAGCGTAATTTGCAATTAAAGTTTTGTTCTCAGTGCCTGCGAAAGTTGTGCCCAAGCATGAGTCGGACAGCTTTTCAATAGAAATAGAGGTAACACTCACAATGGCAAACATGTAAATAATACTCCTCCGCACCCAATCACCTTGGCGACCCAAGAATGTTGATATGACGCATTCTACATTCCTTATGTAGAGCGTAGATGAGTATCCCACAAGGTAAAGAGTATGTTCACTGATTGCGGGCTAGAAAGAGATTTCATATCGTTAGATATTACGAAGTGATGTTGGCAAGGTTGAAAAGTTATCACCGAAAATAATTAGCACACACGACGTTTCTAAGAAACCTCTTTTTTAAAAGAAAAATGCTATAACAGTAAGGTTCCTGTCATTTTCGCACATGAGCTCTACCTCAGGCAGAAATCCTCTCTCTCTCTCGCTCTCGAGGAAAATGAAACAAAAGCCATTAATTTGGAAAAGCAATGAACATTTTCGTCACTGCTCTGGGTGCAGTTGGTATTCCAAGTTGTAGCGCTGGATAACATGTGCCGTACCGTTTTTTTTAGAAATCCCAAAAGCTCCACGCCGTTTCGCATATATATCATGAAACGTTTTTGGAGATATCCAAACCGATTTTGCCAGAATGCCAGATATGCGACCACTCCGTTACGTTAGACCGGGCTCTTGAAGCATTTGTTTTTTATTTTTTTAAAGCGCCGAGTCATCTATAGCTTTACCTTTGTTTGCTTGTACTATCAGCTCGCTAGACTCTTCTTTCAAGCTGTGTATTTCATCACGTGGCGGAGATCTCTCGCATTCAGTTTCGCCGCGCTCACAACATACGACTACCAGCAGTGTCGCCATCATGAAGCAAGTACCACTGATGAGACAAAATGCTATACTGTTTAGATGTCCGTGTTGAAATTGTTACTACCAATTATATATTGCCAAACAGTATTCAATCGAGTATTGTAAGTGACAGAAAGATGCCCATTTATATATCTGTGGTGTTTGATAGACGCTGGACTAGCCGCACGGGTGCCGCGTGCGTGCTCTTGTTGCCTTTGGGAGTGGCGATTTCTATGCTGCCCAGGGAACGAAAGAACTTGCCAGAAAGTGAGTAACCACCCACGAACACGCCAGTTGGAGGCGCGATATTCAGTTGCAAAAGAGATCGCGGGAGAGACACGCTCAATTCGGTGAACTTTTGAACTGTTGACTGATCGGGGGTGCTGGCGAATTCGCAATTCACGCTTTTTTGAAAACCGCTACCACTGTCAAGCATTTTTTTTTGTTCCACCATGCACGTTCTTATAGCCGTTTTGATCAATGTTTCGTGTATACTACTGCCATAGGGTGAACACGGAGCAAACTCGCGTTCCCAAAAAGCTCGGGCCGCCCTCCACAGCACCCCTTTCCGGATGTGTACACACAGAAGTATGCTTGTCGTACTAACGAAATATTGGGGATATACCTGCTGATTCTGTTATTTGATTCCTCGTTAGGAGATAATAAAAAAAGGGCTCCTTGCGGCTTGCAAGCTACTCCTATAGATAAAAAGCTCACTTTATTTTATTTCCTTCACGATCTCCAAAGCTGCATAAGTTTTTGGCTGCGCATGATTCCGGCTCTATTTCTAGCGCTAGAAGCATCGAAAAAAGGGGGACTTGGCTGGTTTGTTGCCAGACTGCTGGCGCCAAATTTTCGTATAAAATGTCCCGTATAAGTTTAGAGTGCACGCTCTATATAGCGAAGTACATGTGGTGTTCTGACGCGCATGGGACAAAGAAAGCCGCCACAACATTCGTGGCTGCTGAGATAGGGAGAGAGAACACAAAAAGAAAGGCAGGGAGGTTAACCAGGGCTGAGCCCAGGTCGGCTACTCTGCACGGAGGAAGGGGAGAGGGGAAGGAAAGGTATAGAGGATAAGAGAAAAGGTCACTGACTGGGCTGACGTGTAACAGTTTCACCATCACAAAAAATGAAACAGGCTGGTGTCTTTGAGAAAATGCAACAGTGTTTTCGTTGCCTTTCGGAAATTGGATGGGCATTGCCATGGTCCCAATGCTTTCTTGACAGTGAAATCACTTCTGTCCAATTGATGAGACATTGCGCAGGTGAAGCCTCTCGTTTGTGTATGCCGGGCAGTAAAATAAGATGTGTTCAACAGTCTCATCAACGGCGCAGTCGTTGCACTCCGCGCTGTCGGCCATCCCTATCTTAAACGAGTAGGCAATGGGGAAGGCTACGCCCAGACGCAGACGGCAAAACACAGTACCTTCGTCCCTAATTCAGTGAAGCACAGACGAGATTATCGCCGAAACACCACAGCATCTAGCTGAGTGTGATTTCGTTTAATATCAACCCCCATTATAACGGTGCGATGTTCTTATTTGTTAGACATTATACATCCCCATTTCAATGTTTTGAACCAAGCATAAGCTGATAGAAGCCATCACAGATGTATCCTCTATTGGAGGATCAATGAAAACCTCTGTTCAGTAAATCTGTAACCTTCTTACGACGTCAGGCAAATGTAACTTGACTGGATTGCTCTTAGTGCCCACCTCGTCGATTGTTTGCCCTTTGAATTATTGAGTGGCAACTTACAGCTGATGGAGCGGCTTGGACATAATATAACAGGTAGTAAGGCAAAATGTCCCGGCTTCGGCCCAAGGACTAAGCGATAAATTTGGAATGGTATACGAAATAACGTGAAGTGCTCACTCCTTGATTATCTGACGTGGCGTATATCTACAAAATGTAGCCGTCAGCAAGCATGGCCACCGCGCTGCAGCGACCTTCACGCCCAAATATCACTGGATTCGAAGCCAAGCAGTCAGTAAAACACGTGCAGAGGTGTGAGCCGTCTTCCATTCTCTGTGAGGACAAAGCGCCTGCGATCGAAATAATAAAAAGAGCACCATCTGCTTAAGTCACGCTGCCACCCGCACAGCGCATCACCACCATTCGCCCCTCCGCGTGGGCCTTTCGTGTGATGAAAACAGACCAGTGCCTTCACTCTCTGCTGGAGCAAAGTTCCTCGACTTAACTCGCATGCTTTCATTCTGGGGTAGGATATACGACGCGCGATGTGGTGTTGTCGAATGGCACTTAACATAGAACTCATTTTTGACGCCGAGAACTGCGGCAGCGTCAAAAACCTGCTGTCAGTTTCCTCACATTCGCTATCGTGCCAACATCATATAAACTTTGCTTTAGTCCGCCTCCGTGGATCAGTTGCTAGGGTGCTCGGCTGCTGACCCGGAGGGTCGCGGATTCGATCTTGGTCGCATTTCGATGGAGGCGAGAAGGTATAGAGGCAGCAAGATGGCAAGTTGGGCCAGTTGGATTACGTTCATAATTGAAAATTTTGTTGAAGCGCACTAAAAAACGGACGGACAGAAGAGGTTGACAAGGACAGCGCTTGCTCTCACAACTGAAGGTTTATCAACCAAAGAAAATGTTCTAATGCACATGCGCGAAAGACCACGTGTCCGCTTCAAATGCCTTTGCTGATTAATAAACCTTCAGTTGTGAGAGCAAGTGCTGTCCCTGTAAACCTCTTATGTCCGTCCGTTTTTTAGTGCGCTTCAACAAAATTTTCAATTATGAGCTAAAGAGGCTCGTGTACTGTGCGATGTCAGTGCACGGTAAAGAACACCAGGTGGTCGAAATTTCCTCAGCCTTGCACTACAGTGTCTTTCCTGATGATATCGTGGCTTTGGGAAGTAAAACGCTACGTAATATTCTGTATGCTGGATTCATATAATAAAACTTATGACCACAAGAACCTAGCCATTAATTGCAATTTCACTGAGCTACTTACACTGCCATATTATGACACGACTGGCTAACTCTCCAGCAGAAGTCAGTTTTAATAGGCCATACTAAGTCAGCTATAGCCGCATGCACCATGTTTTGTTGTGTACACTCTTTGCATCCGTGTTTGTGTATAGCATTGCATGCGCAGCTGGCTCGGGGCGTCAAGCAGTGTGCCGATTCTTCCAAAGGTCTGTGCATTGCCTTCAGCAGTCTGACTTCAGCGGTTACGTATATCACATGCAGCTTTTGTTTTCACTAAGGCAGCTCTGACTTGATGAACTTAGAACCAGAAGCTCAGAGCGTAGCCTTCGGTCGTACGGTGCTTGGACTCGCAAGAACGAGACATTTTGCAGGCCTTTCGACTCGGTACGGTGAGCAAATAAACCCGAAAGTTATCGTGTTCATCGAAATAAGTGGTGAATGTGACACGCATGTTTATGATTGGTGGATTTCCGAATCCGTGGGTTTTACCTAAAATGATTACCACTGTCCTTACCATAATGGGAGTGCCACTTGTCATGTCTTTCATTCAGTCACCGGGTGGACCATAGCGCAGGCAGAAAAAAAAGAGGTTTCAATTACATATTGCGAAAGAAAATATCACCTTAGACCAAAACACGTACCTAATATCTCAATTGTATCTGTAGTTGTATCTTCTACAAATATGGTCGAACTATTGCCGAAAAACGTACTTGTCCATGTAGCACACTTGCGAGTACAGTAATGAACGTGGCGATTAGCCGTATCAATATCGCCAAACGCCTCGGTGCGGAAAGTAAATGAGCCAGAAAGTTTTCATGTTCAGCGAAACCAGCGCGCAATAATGATTGGTGGATTCAAAAACCACAAATTTTCATCTAAAATGTTTACCACAGTAATTACCATTATGGGAGTGCCATTTCCATGGCTTTCATTAAGGCATGGCATCTCTTTACCCGAATAACGTGTTTTGAGCAAAAGCTTCTTTTTGTAAAGCCAGCTCTAGTGAGTGCTCGTTCAAAGACATTACACTCGTGGTCATTCGCAATTTTAAGACTGTGGTATCAAGACTGTGGGACTGTGGGATCGATGTGTGATCGATTTAAGGTTGTGGGATCAAATCCCTGCTGCGACGGCTGTATTTCCAGTAGAGGCGGAAATGTTGTAGGCCCGTGTACTCCGATTTGGGCGTACGTTAAAGAACCCCAGGTGATCGAAATTTCCGAAGCCCTCCACTACGGCGTCTCTCATAATCATACGGTGGTTTAGAAACGTTAAACCCCACATTTGTATAAATATAACCAACGTGGGTGCCATTGTTCAGCACTCCAAGGTGAATGTGTCATATATATACATATATATATATGGTAAAGAATCTGAATGACGGACGCTCTGCTGTTACTGAAGAAGACGATAATGATCGGTGGCTGTAGCAGTAGCTCGTGCATGCCGCTCGCCGTTAGCCAGACCTGCCTCATAAAGCACCTTTCACCAAGCTGCGTATGAAGCTTTCTGGACATACAACACCTTTATTCTAAGTGGTTGAGGAGCCGGGATTCCCATCAGCCTGGAACTTCACAATCAGACGCTACCCTTTCTGTTCACCATGACTGCTCCTGGCCCTTCTCAAGCTGTCCCACCAACGACACTCGTCTGTGCTGGCGTGCCTCGGCAACGCGACCCACCAATTTTTCGGGGTGATGACGAACATGACGTTGAGGAGTAGCTCATCGAGTACGAAATCGTAAGCGTTTCCAACAAATAGAATGCCTGCGACAAGCTCACGAACGTGCGCTTTTACCTCGCTGATGTGGCCAGCCTCTGGTTCAAGAACCACTAAGGCGAAATCACCAACTGGTCTGCCATCAAGACCACCATCGCCGTGGTCTTCGGTCGCCCCGCCGTGCGCTGGCTTCGCGCGGAACAGCGTCTCCGTAGTCGAGTCCAGCGAGGGGACGAGACCTTTACAAGTTACATTGAAGATGTCTTGTCTCTTTGTAAGCGAGTTGATGCATCTCTAACCAAACACGACAATATCAATGACATCATCAAAGGAGTTAACGACAATACCTTTGAGATGCTCGTCGCTAGGAACCTACAGACTGTCACCGACGTTGTCCAGCTCTGTCAGGAGTACGACGAGTTGCGTAAGCAGCGCGTCTCGACGCGCAGGGCCGCTGAAGATACGGCTGAAGTTTTCACCTTCGCGCACGACGTCGCTGCTGATTAAACCACCTTACTGCCCACATCAAACAATTAATCCGTGAAGAAGTTGCGCATCAATTTTTCTTTATGGCTGAAGCATCCGAGCCAATGACCTCGTTAGACCCACGTCTAAGCCAGTTCATTGAGACACAGGTCACGCAGGCACTGCCTTCATCGCCATATGTCCCTACGCCACTGACCTACGCTGCCGTTGTTGCTAGACCACCAGCCCCATCTGTTTCTGGCGCATACCGGAGCACCGGGTCCTCCTACCCACCGACGTTGCCTACATACACGCTACCCCATCCTACTTCGCCCCCTGCACCTTTTGTCGTTAATCTATGGCGCACCTTCGATAATCGACCCATCTGTTTTGCATGCGGATTTGTGATACATATAGCACGCTACTGCCCCGCCGCGGTGGTCTAGTGGCTAAGGTACTCGGCTGCTGACCCGCTGGTCGCGGGATCAAATCCCGGCTGCGGCGGCTGCGTTTCCGATGGAGGCGGAAACGTTGTAGGCCCGTGTGCTCAGATTCGGGCGCACGTTAAAGAACCCCAGGTGGTCAGAATTTCCGGAGCCCTCTACTACGGCGTTTCTCATAATCATATGGTGGTTTTGGGACGTTAAACCCCACATATCAATCAATCAATTAATTAGCACGCTACTGCCATCGTCGACTCTTCCAGCTTCCGGACCGTGAGAATTCTGGAAATTACCAGGCTGCCCAGAATCCCCTGCGACCATCTTCCCCTATCGTCGACTTGTTGTCTCCACGACACCCTCTCGACTCTCGACGGTCATTACCGTCCCGTCACCTCTCTGTTTCCCCCATGCTTCGGCGCACGAGCCCCACTCGAGAAGAAAACTGACATCCTCTTTGTCCACCCAACGAAATTGATGTGCTAGTAGAAGGTGTCGCTGTACGTGCACTTGTCAACACAGGCACTGTCGTTTCTGTGATTAGTGAGAAACTGTGTCGTGATTTGAGAAAAGTTGCAACGCCGCTCACGAATCTTGCCCTACGTACAGCCACCTCCCATTTCGTCGCACCAACGGCTCAGTGCACAGCACGTGTTCTTATTCAAGATGTTTGGTACGCCGTCAAGTTTGTTGTTCTTCCACGTTCATCTTACATCACACTAGGGTGGGATTTTTTTTCTACCCATTAGGCCCTCGTCGACTGCGCTCATGCTGAACTCACGTTGTTGAATCCGTGGCTTGATATTGACACACGTTAGGAGCACGAAGAAACGTACAAGGAGACGAGACTGTCAAAATCTGAGACACAAAGAAGGACGTCTCCACTGGCATGGGTTGCTCGTCTTCGTCTTTTTCGTTCACTGGCACAGAACTGGCTCACTGTTCGCTGGCACACAGCACCAGGTACCATTACTCCTCCCCCCAAGAGAGCATCGACCCGATGCTCAAGAAAAGTGGGCACAGTAGTGGGTCAAAGTAGGCAACATAAACAAGCATTGAACAAAGTAGCGCACGAGAGAAAATGCGTCCTGGGCCCGGCAATCGGAAATAAACGGCATTCACTCTTCACATGAAGAGTTCACTGGCACAAGAAAAAAATTCGCATCACCGCGTAAAGTATGGTTTTAGGCGAACGACGTGGACAGTCTCTGGACGTGGTAACCTGCGCTGGGATGATGGTGAGCCTCCGTCTGGAACCGCTTCGTAGTGGACGTCACTCACACGTCTGAGTACTTTGTAAGGTACAAAGTACTTCCTCAAGAGTTTCTCGCTGAGACCTCGCCACCTAATGGGTGTCCAAACCCAAACTTGGTCACCAGGTTCATAATTAACTTCTCGATGGTGGATGCTGTACTGCCATGCATCTGCGCACTGTTCAGTTCTGATGTGCATACGAGCCAGTTGATATGCTTCCTCAGCGTGCTGAATGTACTCATTGATGTCGGGGGCTAATTGGTCGAGCTCGTCGATGTCCTCATACGGAATAATGGCATCTAGCATAGTTCTGACATCTTGACCATAAACGAGCCGAAATGGCGTGAAGCGTGTAGTTTTCTGCGTTGCAGTGTTGTACGCAAATGTTGCGTACGGCAGGATATTGTCCCACGTTTTGTGCAGCACATCCACGTACATAGAGATCATGTCGGCTAGCGTTTTGTTTAGCCTTTATGTTAAACCATTACTCTGAGGGTGATACGCAGTGGTCTTTCGATGGGTTGTATAACTCAACCTGAAAATATCATCCAAGAGCTTCGCTGTGAATGATGTCCCTCGATCAGTGACGACATATGACGGGGCGCCACGCTGTAACACAATTTTATGCATAAAAACCTGGCAACTTTAGGTGCGGTCCCTCGTGGCAATGCTTTCGTCTCAGCGTAACGCGTGAAGTAATCGGTTGCGACAATAATCCATTTGTTGCCGGAAGAAGACAAAGGAAACGGGCCTGAGAGGTCCATTCCCACTTGATCGAACGGTGTAGGGGGTGGATCGATTGGTTGTAGATAGCCTGCAGGCTTTAAAGGTGGTGTCTTGAGACGCTGGAATTCACGGCATCCCTTCACGTAGCATTTGACACATGCAGACATCTTATGCCAGTAGTAATGTTGTCGCACCCGATCCATAGTTTTCGAGTAGCCCAGATGGCCGGATGTGGGCTCGTCATATGGTAAGCTAATAAGACGTCATCGCGGAGGGCTTCAGGCATGACGAGAAGATGCGCTCTGTCACCAGCACAAGTGTTCTTTTTGTATAAGACGCCATTTCGTTGGCAAAATGATGGCAACGTTCGCGACATCGGATGAGGAATAGGCCTTGTGCCACCTTCTAAGTGATCTATTCCGGTCACGTTTATCGACCTCTATTTGCCAATAACCACTTTTCAAGTCGACGGATGAAAAACACATCGCGCGGCGCAGCCTGTCCACAGAATCATCCACTCTGGGAATCGGGTACACGTCTTTCTTTGTGACATTGTTCAACTTCCTGTAGTCGACACAAAAGCAAAGCGTGCCATCTTTCTTTTTCCTAAGAACGACTGGTGATGACCAAGGGCTGCTTGAAGGCTGTATCACACCATCATGAAGCATTTCCTTGGCCTGTGTTTGAATCGCGTGCCGTTCGGTTGGCGAAACACGATAAGGCTGCTGCCGTATGGGATGCGCGTCGTTGTAGGTCATAATATGGTGTTTCGTTATCGGTGTTTGCTGTATCTTCGAAGAACGTGCAAAGCATGTGTGGAACTCCAGCAACAGCTCACTCAAACGCTGCTTGTTCGCTTCAGGAAGCGTTGGATTGATGTCGACGCTGTGAAAAGGCGCTTCAGCAGTGCCGATGGTCTCGGAAGCAAA